AATGCTTTTTGTTCACATAAATGGAAATTTTTTTTATAAAAATTAAAATATCTTATTCAAAAAGTACCTAACATATTTTTATTAGCAATATGATTTTTTTTTACTTTGTAAATTTTTGTACAAAAAAATAGATACATATGTTGACAACTATCCAATTAGAAACGCTCTTTTTTGTCCTTGTAAGTCCTTATTGAGATAAATAATAAAATTTGCAAATTTACCATTATATTGCATTGTTTTTGTTACTCTATTTACTGCTCAATATATAATATAATATATATATATATATATTATTACTTTCCCACTTTGTGAATGAATTACTTTAATAAAATGCAACAGTTAATTAGACGCGATAATAAGAGACATATTCATAACATCGTGTTCTTTTATATTACTAATTTTTGGCAAATATTTATCTAATATTAAAATATTTATTTTAAGATTCGTGATGGGAATAAGCAGCAGCCGTATAGCTGCATTACGCAGCTCTATTTTTGACCTTCGTAGAGCTGGAAAGTCATACAGTCAAATTGCGGACCAAGTCAAATGCTCCAAAAAAATGGGGTTTCGTGCCTCAAAGCATATCCAGAATACTGAAACTGTTGCAAATATCGTAGGCACAAAAAGGCACTATGAAACGAAAAATACTCGTAATGGTCCTGATGCTCCGAGGTATTCTCGACGGCCCATTAACCAAAAATTAAATGCTCATTATGTTTCACGTGTAGTGAAGCATAGTGGAGGATCAATCATGGTATGGAGATGTTTTTCCTTTAATGGTGTTGATCCATTACATAAGATAAATGGCATTTTAAATAAAGAAAATACGTAGACAAAAGAGAAGGGTTATTAAAAAATTAAGGGTTATTAACCAAACACTAACTAAAAGTATGCAGACATTTTTTTCAAAAAGTATTTATTTATTCATCAATAATTATGTTATCCCCTTCAAACTAATCCCCTTTAGATATAAAACACTGGCAGCGTTTTTTCCATTCACTTCTGAAACGGGTTTTTTGGTATCGACAATAGATAGCTCCCGTTTCGATTTTTCTTTTATTTTCCCAATCGAAGCAAAACGCTTTCCTTTCATAGGTGTCTTCAATTATGGGAAGATTCTCCAAAATCATTTTCTTTACTTTTTCTATGTTTTCATCGGTTGTTGACGTACTCGGGCGACAAGGACGAGCAATGCCATTGACATCTTCTCGAACGTCCTTTAATCCGTTATACCACAATTGCGCTTCTGTTCTACTCATAGTAGACCCGCCAAACTTCACAGCCAACATTTCAAATATCCTTAGATTATTTTTCTACTCAAAACTTAATAGTTTCTTTAATCCATTTTTTCGAATAGAAATCGAAGAGTACATCAAGTCACGACAAACCTTTTTATCTGTCAAAAACAGACAGACAATCCAAAATGGCTGATATTGCCAATATATATAACACATGTGTAACAAAATAACAGAACAAAAGCGAAAATCGGACATACGTAACTCAATTTGAAAATATCGGATAATTCTTACCACACCTCGTTAATATCAATATTTTTCTTGATAAAATATTGTCGTTTCTAATTGGGTGTCGCACTCAGTTCATGAGTTTCCCAGGTTTTTATAAAAAAAAAAGTATATAAAAGTTAATTCTGAATAAATTGCTTAGGATATGATTTAAAGTTTTGTATATAAAATTAGAAAACAAAATAAAAAAATTCGTGCTTTTATGGGCACAAGGATTATTTCACACTACTTTTGGCGTAGCTCTAGTGTCTAGGCAGAATCTGATAGCACTATCTATCCCTCTTTCATTGTCTCGGTTGCGAAATCGCATCATAACAATGCAACCCTGCATTCTATAAATTTGCCTTGCAACAATATTTTACAAACTCTGACATTTTGGAATGCTTTTCGTGCAAATAAGTTGATTTTTTGTATAACGGCTAAAATATGAAAAATATCACGAAAATAAATAATATAATGTTTAAATAAAATAATTAGGTAAAAAATCTTGCTCACCGTCGTCGACCGTTGTCGCTAAGAATTTATGATAAATTAAAGTATCACAAGCCTTAACGATGCGCGATTTGTTTTTGTTTGCCCAATCAATAACTTTACCGATGAATTTTGGCACATGATACATCGTCAAAGTTTGCACAGTTGCACTTAGTAACACGAAACAATGTATGGTTGCTTTACAACTGACGTTTTGGAACTTACACTAACTCGACTATTTTTTTTGTCAAGTAGCATTACTGATGGCTGATTGTGTTTTGCATCGTGAAGTAAATGGTTTTGAACTCTCTTGCACCCGTTGACGCAAAGCAAAAACGTGGTGACTTTACTTCCGACCATCTTCCAGACACTGATTTATTTTCAAAATGTTTACAGTTTCCTACTTTTTGGTCCTGGCATACTGGACACTATTTCATCGGCTATCGTCCTTCCAGGTGAAGTATTTCGCGCTTTGGTTCACGGGCAGGAACCTAATTTTCAACATGAATCGTACATATTGTATTGACCAATTAAGTAAACCAATCACTAAAGTGCATGGAAGTAGAACGCGGCTGAAAATGCGCTTAAGTTTTTCCCCAGTGTGTCTGTTTCATAACTCAATCATTCCTAAGGTATGAACGAATATTTCATACTCGCGGAAGCATTGCATTGATTGTCGCTACATTCATTTCAAGGCAAATACTCATAAGTCAATTTTTTAAATTTTCTGAAATGTTTGTTTAACTTTTTCAGCCGCAAATCCAAGCTTGTCCCCAATATTTTTTGAGTTAAGATTTAAGTTGAACACACTTTCGTAAGGATTTTTTTAAGTACTCTGTCATCGAATGTTACTGTAACCATTCCTAACTCTGCTTTCAAAAATCCACTTTTGTTCAAACTTATTTCCGCAACAATTTTTTTTACTCTCTACTCAACGGGAATCAATATCTAAAATGAAGTCTTTATGCATGGCAGTATAATGCCTTTTAATATTTTGCACTTTTTCCTTTTAATTGACAATTTAGTCTCCGTGTTAAAATCTAAAAGCTTACCCATTTTAATTATTACTCTTATTAAAAGACATGTTGCTTCAACTAGAAATCAAATTCGTCTTGCACAATAATCACGTACCACACATACTCTTATTTGAAAAATTTTCCTCGTCATCTGCCCACTCATTTGCCTAATGCATCTTCTCGCTCGTCTACCTCGCTTACTTCTTTGATAACTCGCATTAACGAACAAGCGAGGTCATAATTGTGGCAAAGGAGTGAGCGAGGTAGAGGTTAAATCCGATCCCTGCATCTTACCCTTTCTCCCTCTGATCTGAACAAGTCGAAACAGCTCGTTTCCTGGATATCTCGTTAAATGACCTGTGTGACTAAAACTAACTAACCTGTATCTAAGCGGAGTGAAAGGACCGTTACCATTACAACAACAACAACAACAACAACAACAACAACAACAGTGCGTTAGAAGCCGGTCATAACATGCACCTTGGTAACATTGTCCCTCTCTTCCCTCGTGGCATGGGCCAAAATCAGAAAAATTTCGTTTTGATGCGGCTGCTCCAGTTCTCAGCGACGGAGTTTTCCTCTCACGACGAATCCGATGTCACACTGGACTTCTTTTATATGGGCGGTGTAGTAAATGTCGCAAAAACCTACTTGTCTTTGTCCTTGTTCCGTTGATCACACTTCTTAGGCAGCGTATAAGTCAACCTTCAGTCTTACCCCCCCTGCGGTTAAGGCGACTAAAATCCAATAGTTCCCGCGACAGTCGCGTCTTTATACCGGAACGACCCGGATTTTTATCCGGCTAAGGACTGTCACTCTCGCTAAATTCCCCAAAAAGTACTTTGAAGAATAATTTTGCGGTTACAACAACAACAAACCTGTCTTACAATGCCATATACCAGCTGAACAGCATCGAATACCTCAGATGATGAAACAATATTGACATTACTGGCTGGGCCACGTCCTCAGCATGAACGTGAGCACCACGGAGTTAATTATACATATTCTACCTCTCGAATTTTTCAATAACAGTCTACGAATAGAATAACCCAAGCAGCCCTTTATTAATCAAACTTTTTTTCGTTTCAGTTAATGATGTATAGCTTTAAAAACTTGTTTACAGTAAACTTAACTATAATATTTTACACATATTAATCTCCCAAAGCTATTCTATACGAATAGCCTTTGTAGATATTTTAGTTTCAAGCAAGATTTTTGATAAACACTTCAATTATATATATATTTATATTTATATTCTTTATATTCTTAGTTATTTTTTTCATGATTCTAATAATTCTTTGTTCCTTATGTTTTATCTCTCTTGATTTTCACAAAATAAAGACGACTCTGAAAATAAAAAAAATCTGGTTTCACAAGTTGAGCTTAAACCACTAAATATGGATTTTCCTATGCTCTTTTTAAGGTATTTCACTCAAACTTTCTTAAATATGTCTTAAAATTTAATATATGTTATAAATACATACATAAAAAAATTTATATATATATATATATATAGTTTCGCTGGTAAGTACATGGTTAAAAAAGGGATTAAGTCCTTTCACAGCAATGCCTAGAAATATGTAATCGCATATTAATCAAGTGAAAATAGAAAAGCAAAGAAAAAACATACCTTTGCCAGTCGATTGTTCTTTTGAATCTCGTCATTTAATAAACGAGTCCTGCGGTATTACATCAGCATCATATAATTCCCCAAAAAGATCACTTAAGAGGCCTGCAATATAAAAGAATAGTAGAGAAATTATTTGAAATAGCGCATATTTACTCACCGCGAGGATGTTCAAATCGTGCGACTAGCTGTTGCATTGAGTATAAGCATTCCAATTCAAATTCCTCTTTGGAGTCAATATAACGCTGCAAAACAGGAATACAAATTTTTTGGAAACAATCAGTTTCCAACTTGTAGCTATTCTCCTTGTACGAAATCGCAAAGTCGCACAGTTTAGTTGCTAATATACGGATGAATTGTTTGTCAATATCACCAACGTTGCCCTGAACAAAATATATTGTTTTGTTACTAAATATATAAAAAATATAATGTTTAAAAAACGACTTACATTAATATAGTCTATTATACAATCTGCTGCTGCTTCTTGCTTCAGTAAAAGCTCCACGTTGTCAGTAACTGAGTTAAAATTGTCTTCCTTGAATTCAAATACTATCGCTGACTGAATTTAATCGTTTTCTATATATTCATATTTCTAGAAGTATTAAGAGTGAGCAGCTTGACAGCAATAACAATAAAAGAAAACTCACATTTGTTTCAATAAAACTCATGACTTCTTTTTCATCTAAGAAATCTGTCCATTTAATATTCGTTTTTTTCCATATAGTACGAGTAAAGCTTGGACCAATTTCCCTTAAACAATAATCCAAAAATGTTTTTAAAAACCTTTTACCAAAACTTGGAGCGTTATCTTCTTTCAATTGCTTACACCATAAATCGTATATTGTAATAAGCTTTTTCTTGATCAATGGACCTGCACACAAGTATATGAATACATTCAGCTTACTAAAGATTTTTAATTGATTTACCTGTGAATTCTATAATATACTTCCAGAGATCGGGAATATCAAGGGCTAGATCGCTAGCTATTTCACAAAATTGTTTATAAGCTACATTAAAATGTTGTATCGACAAATAATTATAGTTAGTTAAGTAAACGACAATATTGCCTAAATAGCGCCTTTGCAATTTTCCGACATGCCTCAAATGCAGATAATCTGTCATAATATAAAACAAAAGGGCACAACGCTGACTCTCTCTAACACGTAAAATACAAGGCTCAATGGAGTTCATTAATGTTCTCGATGTTGACGCTATCTCGAGCATTTCTGTGATAACAGACTTTATGACCCGGATATCTCCGTCACTAGATTTCTCGAAAACTGCAATTGGTGGCTCAGTAGGTGTCCTACTACTCTCAGTTTGTGGGTTTGAATGTAAATTTTCACGCTGTGAATATAAGGACATCGGCCCTGTAACTGAAGGCTACATAATGATTATTAATAATTTCTTGTTTACCGTTATTTATATATAAAATACCTTTCCGGACATTATGTTTGAAGATTGCATTGACTGTGTATACTTAGAGTGGCTCGCGGACTTTGGCAATGAAGATGTGCTCATCGTTGAGCGTGATTGGGGACCTCTTGACGACGAGCTTTCCCGAGAAGCCTGAGAAGAACCTGACCGTGTTTGCATGCCTATAAAATTTATACCTTAATAGAAGACGCTAAATCGAAAAAAAACAATAAAAATAGATACTCACTATAACGCTCTCGTTCGGTGGATCCTTTATTGTACGATCCCTTACTACGTGGACCACTTCTATCCCTATCACGATCCCTTTCGTTACTTCTGTTGGAATCACTAAGTGCAGATAAAGCCGCGAAAGAATTCGTAGGAGTCGATGAAGGTGTGGAGGACTGCCGCTGTGACCAGATAAACTGGGATACGCCACCCATTTTCTTATTATCAAAGTTATTGGCGGTTGTCTGCACGTAAAAGAAGAAAAACAATGAGATCAAAATACATTATTTCAATATGCAATTAAGTTATTGAACAAACCAAGCCTTCTAATTTCATTGCATCCAGAACACGACTTCCTCCTTTGCTAGTCTGAATATGCCATGTGCTATCGTCACTGTTAGAGTTTGAGTGTCCAACGTTTCCACCCATCTGTTGCTGACGACGAAGGCTGCTAGGATCCCCTCTCTGACTATGACTACCTCCATATCCACTCCGTGAATCATATCGTCCTCCTCGTTCATCACGCTTGTTCCCAGAGTTTAAGGATGATTGTCCATTAGAGCCACCAGCACCACCCCCAGATACAGATCCAGCATAGTTAAGATATTGAGAAGATAGTTGCTCAGTTTTCATTTCTTTTTCTACTTGCCCCATGGTTTTTGGGGCCTCATTTCGCTTCGATTGCCATTTGTCTCGGCGTAAATCAATTACATCTTGCAGCATAAACCGAACACGTGAGCTCACTTTTGCTCCTTCTTTATCCGTTTTTGAAGCAATGGCCTGCATACGGGTAATCGTCTTGTCTAACGAGTAACAACGATTCGATTCCTTAGCGTTAATGGGAGTTTGCTCGAATTTCGCTCTAACAGTTGTTAAAAGCTGGTCTTCCGAGTTTGGATTTAGTAGAGTTTCAATGCACGAATAGATAATCTTTCCGGTAAGCATGGAAATTTTAAAAAGTTCACCAATAAAACGGACAGTGCCCCCCGATCGGCGGCGGATTTTTCTTTCTTCTTCCTCTAGTTGTGCCTCTAATTCTATCTTTTCTGTTGGATCAGTACATTCTGAAATTTTTTCTAAAATAGGTTGTAGTTTTCTTTCTTTAGCTTTACTCTTAGTAACATTTTGAGTAAACTCGCGCTCAGTTTTGTCCAAGAGGGCAGCACGAAATTGGGCCAGGTTAGTCTTCGTACCGCTTTCCATACGCTCGTCACGTGCTTTCACTTCAGTTATCAAACGATGACACAAGCGTGCATACGACACTGAAAAATTTGGCTCATCTATTGCTTTTTCAAAAACGAGAACCATCACGTCCTCCATTTTATCAGGTGTGTCTATTTTAAGCTTTATTATTTCTTCGACTAATGTGTCAAACTTCTCAGGAGTTAATTTATTCAATATACCGCGTACACGGCGTATAAGCTCTTCCTTTTCCTGTCTAGATTTTACTTCAGGATCAGCTTCTACTTCACTTTTAACCAAAACCCTAGGACGCCAAGCATTGTCAGTTTCATTCAGCTTAACGTCTTGGTTCAGCGAGAGATTCACGTGTATCATGCCTNTCACTTTTAACCAAGACCCTAGGACGCCAAGCATTGTCAGTTTCATTCAGCTTAACGTCTTGGTTCAGCGAGAGATTCACGTGTATCATGCCTATGAATTAAATAAAACACACCCTTAAAACGGATAAAGATACTGTTTAGTATTTAACTCTCTACGGCCCAGATTTTTTTTCATGCAGTAAAGGACTGTTAACCATAGGGCGACTTAGCCCCGATTACTCGACCGGTATACCTTGGTTAGGTTCAACGCGGACCCTTACAGTCCAGCGGAGCTCCCGACAACATGACTCCAAACAAAAATGTGATAACCCAATCCTTATAACCTTTTCTGTTTGTTTCATGTGTCAAACCAGCATAAATCTGTGTTCGAGATAGTAGCAGTGGCTAAAGAAAATTTCAATAACATTTTTTTTAATATTATACTTTATGAACCGATAAAAATAAAAGTTTTTGGCCATGCCAACTAAAGAGATTATGGTTGAAGCCCATGACGTTATACCGAAGCCTTATTTTAAAATATTACATACAACGAAAAAAATACACTAGGTTTGGTTGTTGATACGGTATGGCTAAATACTGCAGTTTACGGTCCTATATAATCATGAATTGCTTTGCGCCTATGCTCTTATTTCGGTCATGATGATTGTTGCGTATGTGTGGTCGTGTGCGCGACAGACGTAATTAGAGTAATGTCTAAGACGCACCATGCTATAAGATGCGCCTCCATCCCCAATACTTGTGAAATATTTAATATAACTTACTGTTTCCTGTACTTGCAGGTACGTATAAGAGAGCCGAACATTTTTCTATACTTTCANTCCCCAATACTTGTGAAATATTTAATATAACTTACTGTTTCCTGTACTTGCAGGTACGTATAAGAGAGCCGAACATTTTTCTATACTTTCAAATGCTAGAATAGAAATGGAATACCTTCACCTACCTGGAGCTACTCTTTTCCCTTTCAATATTACGTGCTACGCTTTGCTATTAGCTGATACAGAGGAATTTCATAATCAATGCACGAATAGATAATCTTTCCGGTAAGCATGGAAATTTTAAAAAGTTCACCAATAAAACGGACAGTGCCCCCCGATCGGCGGCGGATTTT